CCAAGTGGGAAGGCATGCCCACTGAATAGAATCCATGAAAACGGACTTCCACATGCTACAGAGATTTTAGGCTATTAAAATGAGTGCAGGTGAACTAACCATAGTTGTTTCCATCTTGCTTATATCTTGCTTTTTCCCATCTGGGTAATGCCACCAGGGCTCCTGTCACACTTTATCCAAACTACTCATTTCTGCACTTGGAGTCTAGGAATTCTTGTTCTTGCTCAGGACCCTACCATACTCAAGGGGGCAAGCAGAGCTCTGAGGTGAGTCACAGTACCCAGGACTGGCAGCTCTGTTCCCCTTTGTCCAGAGTGGGAGCTCTGCACACTGAGGTGACAGGTTAGGACACTGCAGACCAGACACATTTGGCATACACCTAAAGGGTCTGTCTTGACAACCTTCAGCTACTTGAGAAAATTCAGAATGTCTGCCAGTGTGTGTAAGTGATTATAAAAACTCCCCAAGACAAACTTTGTTGGATACAATGAAAAGTTGGGAGACTTGGCTACAAAAGGGTGTACCCTAGCTTACATGGATGGCGGAGTTTGCAGAAAAGTCCTGTGTGCTGGGCTTTGAAACTCTCCTATATGAGTTTTGTGGATTGTTTTTACTCACAGAAAAAAACCCCAGAGCTGGGAAATCAGTAGGAAATGGAGTTAGTCAGAGAGGAGAAGGAACTTTGTAGACTGACTGCTCCCAGGCATCAGGCTTTTGCACTGCTGAATCAAGGTAAAAAAATAAAAAAAAATAAAAAAAAAAAAAGGAAAAGAGGCAGCAAACAAAATAGGACAAGTTTGAGTTTGGGACAAAGCAAGTATTAAAAGCCCTAAAAGCAAATGTGCTCCAGGAAGGGAAAGCGTCCAAATGTCTGTTTCAGCTAACAATGAAAAGCCCCAGCCTGCAGTCCCCAAAGGAAGCCAAAAGCCTGGACCAGAGGGCTGGATTAGACCTGCTCAAAAGAGAAATAACAAAAGCTTTAAAATCAGGCCATTACCAAATCCTCCTTCCTATGCAGAATTGGGGTGTGCACTTCCAGCCCCCACACAGAAACAGAGGGATTTCTTCAAAAGCCACTGTCTGTCTAAACCTGCATGCAGCATTGATGTGTATCTCACATTCACACATTCACTTCTCTCCCAGTGAGATCATTTATTATCACAGGAGCACTTTCCTGTAATCATGTGGACACGTGACCAGAATTGCATTTGGCACACTGATGCATTAAAACAATTTGGGATTTTTTTTTCCCTCCTTTTCTGTAAGTGTAGTCTTGCAATACCAAAATTTGTGCTATGGCACCCCTCTTGCAGCAAGGGGAATATGAAAAGGAGGACCTACCCCATGTGCCCATCTAATACCCTGACAGCTTCTCCCAAAGGAACTGCATTGCCATGGTCCTTTGCCAGATTCCAAACTGGGGACCTGCGTTTGGTCTGAACTCTGTCTCTGAACTCCCTTTGCATGTGAAATTAGAGACAGGAAAATCTCTCCTACTTCCTGTCCCAGTCCTGTTATGTAAGGGATTCCACTAATGCACTAGCATAGCATTACTGGTCAGAAGGGACGAGTTTAATGCACGTATAGGAGAACAGGTGGCTGGATCTTGCTCTGTGTCGTCACCCAAACCCCTTCTGCTGCTGCTTCTAGGTGTTTTAACTGTCAAAAAGTCCTTAAAGCAAATAATTTTGAAAGTGGCTTGATTTCAGAGGTGGAAAGTTCCATATGTGATTAATTGGTCAGTTTGTGCTGTTAGGGAGTACTGAGGAAGAAAAGTGCTAAATGTGCTGCTGTTAGGCAGTCTGTAGCTGCCTGGCATAGCAGGCTTTTTTTGTAATTCTCAGGAATGTGCCAAATGCCTTCAAACAAATGTATTACATGGTCTCTGTCCAAAGTTCTTAATATCTCAAATTTGCACGATGCAAAGAAAAGGTAACAAAGATTTTGTGGGGAGGATGAGTGATTGAGGTTACATTAAGACCATGGGATTACTCAACAGAGGCATGCAAACATCGCTGGACAAAGTTTATCAGTCTGTTCCAAATTCTAATTTGTTGGAGCATTGTTTGTGCAGATTATGCTAAGGTTTTACTTTGGATCTTTATTGTCTGAAAAGACTCCTCTTTCTCTAAGGACCTCTATTCCCCTCTCTACTGGTAGCAAAAGATTCAAAGCCTAACAAAACTCCAGCCCACCCAACCACAGGGTAAGATTTCCAGTAACTGATTCTGGATCTGAAATCCCCTGCCTGTTTGCAAAGCCAAGTCTAAAACTTCAAATGGTAAAAAGCAGAGGATACTTGCCAGACACAGCTTTTTACAGAGATTTGTAGTTGTGATGATAATTCCATTTTAATACCTCTTCCACTGTAGGTGCTGACTTCCTGCACTAGCAAGCTGCAATAGTGTTGTACAGAGAACACTAGAGCAAATTTGGACATATAAAAATACAAGACTAGGCAGGAAACCCATTCCATGCAGAAGTAATAATTAATTATCCCCCCAAAGTAAATTTATTCATTTTTAGAAGCTTTCTCACAGAATTTAGCTTTTGTAATTAGTTTACCTTATTGAGACCAGCTGTTGAAATAACACTTCCTCTAGAGGCTGGATATATTCAGTCTTAGACTTAATGAAGGGATTTGGCACTCCAGCTGCAGGTGGACAAGTTGCCAGCAGCCTGGAGGCTACACCTGTGTTGTTTTGTGAAACTGGAAGTCAAGCAGGTGCCGATGAGTTCAGTAGAGAGATGAGCTTAGAAATTCCAAAACAAACATAAACTCCTTTCCAGTGGTCACTTCTGAATTGAGGGAGCTCTGCTCAAGGTTATTCCTTTTATAAAGAGGCATGTTAGGGAGGCAACAGCTATAGTGCCTTGCTTCTGCTTCAGCTGGAATATTTCCTTGGTGATCAGTCTCAAACTGAAGCGTGTTTGTGTTGTTTTGACAGGTACCTGACCCGCTGGCCCGTCAGATCTGCAAAACCCATTTGGAAGAGGGGTCCTAAGTGGTGCAAAAAGCCCTTTCCAGTTGGACACCCTTTGCTGAAGGATAATGTCAAATATACACAAAAGCCTCTCTGTTTAAACCACTAGTTGCCAGAACTGGCAGTCAGTAAGCACATGTTTTCCACATGTTCTGCTGGGTTTTTTTTCAAGTTTGTCAATATCTCAAATTTTCTTACTCCAAAATTGTCCTTAGTACTCTATATTGTGTCCAGCTGTGATCTCTTCCTCTAGGAGAGTACAAGAGCCATCAAAGCAAAGTTCAGTGTGCAGGATGATTTGACGAAAGCAAGGGGCAAAGACTTCAACCTCAAAGGCAGAAAGGATCTGAAGGCTTTTGTTTCTTTATGCTCCACAAATGGGTTTGGGAAAGGATGTTGTTTCCTTCTTTTCCCAGCAGTGAGTGGTGTTTCCCCATTAACGCGTGTTTCAACGCAGATTTACCTCATTTATGCTTTTGTACCTGTGACACAGATGGAAGAAAAATCTCTCTGCAGCACTGTATTTTCTCAGCAGTAGCAGAAATTTTTAATGACTACTGAAATGATTTTTTTTATTATCTGTACTATCCATAATTTGTAGCAGAACACCTTTGGCAGTGGCAGACAGGTGTGTATCTTACATGCCCCCTTAAGAATTCCGGGCTTGTGCTTCACTCCTGAATCTGGCAAATACACAGTGTTGACATCCTTGATGACCTGGCCTGGTTTTTTCCCCTTGGCAAATAAATTTTTCATTAATCTTCCATGCCAGTTATACTGTTTCTTGCTGGAAACTGGGATAGTTTGGAACTGATTATCCATCCTGTAACTAAAAGGTGGCACCGTTTCTCTCCCCGTGTAGTACACATACAGATCTTCCACCTACTGACCATTGCTAATTATGGGCCTGGTATGAAAGTCTCATTAAATTTATCATGGTCATTACTGTTTTGGTTCCATTTCTTTGGTATTTATCTGGGGGCTACAAATAAATACAGAATTTTTATGTACTGCTATGCCACTTAACTTTGTATTGCTTTTATCGGAATCATCTGCTAATACCATCAGCATGGACAAGAACAAAAGGTAAGGATAAACCTGTATTATCCAGGAAATCGAATTAGATTTAAATGGTTCTTTTTAGCCTTACTTTGTGAAATGAAAGCCCTAGATTCATCCCCTTGGCCAAGACCTTTTGCTTTGGGAGACATAGCCAAGACTTCATTAACCATACTGAGATAAAAATCTCTGGCTGACTGTCTCTGTTTTATGAAGCTTTGAAAGCTACAGCCCTTCAGAAAGGAAAACATTTTTTTTTATTCTCATACATACAGAAATTACTCTGTCTTCTAGTCCAGGTAGCTCTGGCTCAGTGAGCTTTGCTAATGGAAAAGTCACTGGATTAAACCATTGTCGTGAGATGAACCGAAATAAGCACATTTTTCAAGACCAGGTAATGCCCACAGCTGTTTTCTTCCTACAGTTTAGTGACATGAGCTGGAAACACCCCTCTAAATTTAGTGAAATCTTAACATCTGAAAAGCAAAATACTCTCTTCAATATGCCTTTCTAGAGTTCAGGGTTTAGTACACATCTCTTATATTATTACATCAGCTTTCTACTCTGACTGCCTCTGCTTTTGTCATTCATAGGTGACAGCAGGTATTCATTCATGTTTCCAAATTCTTGTGTAAGCAAGGTGCTTTGGTAATCAAGACAGATGGCCTAGGTTTGATTTCTGACCTAGAGCTTGCCTGTCAGGGAAGAAAATGGCATTTGTTACTATCTAAAGGATTTGCAGTGACACATTACAGGGAGAACTTGGTGCTAATAATGTCAAGGTTGTGTTCAATCCCCATATGGGCCATCCACTTAAGAGCTTTGTGGACCCCTTCCAACTAATAATATTCTGTGATTCTCTGAATTCAATCTATAGTTGAAGGAGGATTGCGTACAATGAAGTCCTAGGAAAAGAATCAGGGCCAGGATCCAGGCACAAAAGAATCCTGCTCAAAGTGCAGAGGTTTCACATTTTTATTAGAACAAGCAGTAAACAAAATTTCCTAAGTATAAAATCTAGATCTTTTCTAGTTCTTCAGTCCTTCTTCCAGACAGAAGTCAAAGCATGAAGGGCAGATCCAGATTCTTCTCACCAGTGCCAAAGTAGACGTAGCCGAATTGCTTGGTTGTTGGGACATGGTAGAATGTAAGTCCCAGCCACAGCAGGCTCCGCAGCACCACCACAGTGCCTCCCTTCTCCAGCTGGATACTCCAGGAGCCTGTGTGAGAAGATGTGCAAATGAATTGCTGGAAAAGAGAAAGAGGCAGTGTTCCTGCAGTAAGTTATCCTAAGCTGAGAGAAGGGCTGCCGTGGGTTTTGCCAGACAAGTTAGCAGGGTGCAAGGCTGCACTGGAGTTTGTGACACCTGAAAGGAGGGAAGTCAGGGAGAACATAAACCTCAATGCCCTGTTTTCCTTTTGTCAGTTCAGCATTGCAGGCTGCCCTCATTTCCAGATGTCTGTCTGGGTTCACATAGTAGGATATTCCTATGGCTATGGTGGTAATGTCATATGCGTCACAAGAAAGGACCCTCAAGCTCCAGACTGGTATAGCTGATCCCCAGGAGAAGCTGCAGCTATTTTGGCTGTTTCTGAGTGGGCAGCAGTTACTCCAACAAGCTCTGCCACCTACTTGGTGTAACTAATAGCTATAGAGAGCCAAGATGAGTTACAGCAATTCTGCATAGGTATGAAATTTGTCCTTAAAATAAACTTCAAGCATTAGTAGTGGGAAGAGGAAGAAGGTGCTTTCCTCCTTCGGGGAAGACTAGTTTCTCTGATGCAGTAACTGGAAAAAAACAAGAAAATTAAAAGTAGGGTATTTCCTATCTGAAAATTTATGGAAAAGGTTAATTCTTTTCAGTCTTTCTTGGCTCCACCATTGAAAAGGATGTGCGTGGTAGGGGCAAAGGGATTAGTTTCCACATTAATTTTGTTTTGGCTCCACAGAAGAGGTTCAGAGCCAGTGTGAAAATGCAGTTTCTTCTGGATGCAAGGAGCTCAGAGCCTCTGAGTATTTATTTTGCATCTGACATGACAGCTTGGGAATTGTGCCAGAGGGAAGGGGCTGAAGCATCAGCATGGATTCACTGCCAGAGGGCAAGGAGCTGCCAGGAGAAGAAAACACCAGCTTCAGCATCAGTAATGTCTAGAGGCTACAGTGTAGGGAAGAAGGTTCCTGTTGAATCTCCCTTTAAAAAAAAAAAAAAAAAAAAAGAGCAGGCCCACACTAAAAAACATGTGGTTGGAACTGTCAGGCTACCACTGGCCTACAGTCAGCATATCTGTACCCAAAGCCAAAATTGCCAATTCCAGGATAAGCAGAAAGCACATAATGTATTGGGCTATTTAGGCAGTATTCATCTTTGTAGATAATTTTAGGCTCATTAATTTTAGGCTCATCCATTTAAGCTATGATTCATGCTTACTCATGTCACAGCCTGGGGAAGGACTTCTGTGATTGCTGTCAGCTGCCTGTGCTCCTGCTCCACTCACTTAAAACACTTGGCCAGTTTTAGTGGCATCCAACAAAGGGCTGAAGGGCTTTAACACCCCAGGTTCCTACAGCAGATCGCCCTGGGATGTGGCCCAATGGCTGACTGCAGCTCCTGGAGCTTTGGCCTGCCAGCAGCTGCAAGGAAGCATGGGCTGTCAGGCCTGCCTGGCAGCCACGAGGCAGCAGCTAGCTGGGCAATCAGCATTTGTGGAGTCTTGGGCTCTTGTGTGCTCCCTTGCAGTAGATGTCATGCAGTTCATGGCAAACTACAGGAGCTGAAGGAAGTGGAGGGAAAATGTTTATGTGGTGGCTCCAGAATCAGAAAGGAGCAGTACCATTCAAAACCCTGTAAAACCAGGTGTTGTGAGTTCTGCTGCTCACCTGTTAAATAGCTCTTTCTCTTCGTATTTCTGTACTTATCAAGTTTTTTGGACACCATTTCCTCTGTCTCCTCCAGTAGCAAGTTCCACATGTTTGTTATACTACAAAAAGCAAGTCTTGTGTCTTCTCTGATTTGTTACCTTTCAAAGTCCCTTCTTCAGTCATGTGCAAATGTGGAACTCGGTGAACAAGAGCAAGAATACCTACCTCCTTTCTGACAGACTGACTTGAGCTGCTGGACAGAAGTACAAAACAGACATTCACAGTCTTTTTCAGGAGATTCTGCTTTAGAGAACTTACTTCCAACTCACTCTTCACATTTCCACTGAGGACAAACAACTGGGGTTGCAGTAAAGCAGAGCACTTCCTAATATTGTACGGTCAATGCAGCTATGTGCCATCTTTTCACCTTCCTTGCACTGTAAAATTCTTTACACAAGTCCTAGGTACAGCATGAGCTAATATCTTCACAAGCAGTGGTTTCATATACAAGGCAACCCCAGTCTCCCATCCAGTCTCTCCAGTGCCACTCGCATGAGCACAAACTGGACTGGATCTTTTTCATATCTGGAGTAAAAACGCCTATTATGGTTCAGCCAGTGGGATTAGAAGTCCTGACTGAGGGGATCTGTGTGTTCTTAAGAAATTTCACCACGTGGATAGCTTGGAAACCCAGATGAGGAACACTTCACTACAAGGCAGATTATCCAGTGATAGAAGTACTACAGCCATTGTCAAAGGACAAGCTTTCAGTTTCTTGAACTTCTTGTCTGAAAGTTTTCAGCACTAGTGTGTCAGTACTGTCACATGCTAGTGACAGTAGCATGACCACGCATAGGAGTGTTGATCAACAAGTAGCAGGCAAATAGGTCTGAATGTAATGGTGACAAGTAACTCTCAATTTCTCATTTGAATGACTGCTCCTAGCACATGATTCTTCAGCTTGAATTTGTAGAAATTATCTACAAGTCTTTCCTCCAAATACTGATGGTACTTGCTGCAGCTTTATACATTGGTTTGTGGGGAAAGACATGACAACACACCATAAACTTATTGAAAAATTTCTCTGACAAAAAGATAATGCAATGAGGAACTCTCATTGTCTTTGATTTAGGACCAGTCCTCTGAGAAGCAAGTCTGTCAAGAATAGTACTGTGCCTTGCCTTGCTGGGTGGTGAAAACTTTTAGGGATTATGTAATTTGTTGATGCCTCCCAACATACTGAAAGCATCTAACAACCTGGATATATGTGATAGTTTGTTTATATGAGTTCACCTACACAGATGAACCCTCTGCCCCAAACCATTTACACAGAACAAAAAAGAATTGCCTGGAGCATGACAACTGGGAAAGGTAAGAGGGAAAACAGGGTTTTTAATGCTCCTAGGAACTATATGTGGATTTAGAGATCTTTTTGTTGTATAAATTCATAGAGGAGATGGAGTAAACCAAGTTTAAAAAAACATAATTACTTCCCTGTATCTGTGCTTTGGGCAATAGAGTACATGGATCTATGATCTCCTCAGAACATTTACCCAGTGACACACAGGCTTATCAATCTTAGCATTCATCATACGTATTCATCAGCAGTTAACTTCACTGATCAAAGGAACTTCCCATGCACCTTCATACCTGACAGAAATGGACAGATATAATTGAAGATGACTCCGTTCACTTTCACGCTACATCTCTGAAGGCTGTGATGTGCAGGTTCTACATTTCCCTATCATCTGTCCAAGCTGCCAACTCCCAAAGGGCTCAAATTTGTAATCTCATAAATGTGAGACCTTTGGGGAATAGTAATTCTTATGGTTATACTTTCCAGCTCTTCTCTGGCCCTTCATTCTGCCTGTAGTTCTGCACAAATATGAACAGTGAAGTTTTGCTGATGCTGCATAAGCCTTCCTGTGAAATGAGGGCCTGAAGAAAAACAAGTAGGTAACGTAAGGGTGATCCCATCTCGATCAGCACAACATAGGTTGAGAACAGGAAAAATTACAAGAATCTGTCTGGAACTGTAATGTCATTTTCACTGGCATCCTGCTTTCAGTCGAAATGATGATTAATCCTAGAGTTGCTCTTCATTCTGCAGAGCCAAAGAGTAGCAGCAGTGCCACCTTCCACCTTCTACTAACTGGATCACTAGAGACATTTTTCTAACCTAATCATCAAAGGTGATTTTTTCAATTTATTTTTCCAGACTGGACTCTTGCAACACACAAAACCCGTTCAGAAACTGCATTTGATATAGAATGCCAATGTGTCTTCTTCTAAGAAGAGATTACATTAAAGTTCAGGAACCTCTCTGTGTTCTTTGGACTTTTTAATAAAGGGAAAAAATTAGAACCCGTTATCTCATTACTTTTTTTTCCCCATACCTCACCACATCAGCAGTATTTCAGGAAATGGTGCATAAAACACAATTTGAACTTGTGAGACATGAAGAAGGTTGTTCTCTTGGAAAGATACAGGACATTTGTGTTCTCTTCTATCACAGCTCAAATCTCACAATATTCAAACAAAATGCTTTTTTTTTGCGAAGGCCCACCTTTCTTATAGGAGTTTGAAATATTGATGTCGTAAATCACTCTAGAAGTTCTTTAAACAGTAACTAATGAACAGTATGCAATAATAGCTTAAAATTAATATGCCACCTTTTCTTCCTTAAGAGAAAGTCTTAGAAATGCATTTAACAATGCAATATAAAAAGGAATGAGAACCATGAAAATTAAATTCTTTCATCCCTTTTTTTTTCTTATCTCTTTTTGTTTTTTAAACTTCTGTGCTATTACGGATGGTTGTTGGGGTAAAACCATTGCATAGACAGCTTCAGGTCTGTATTACTGTAAAAATGCAGAAGTGGGCTTCTGGGTCCAAATCCTTTCCATCACTGGCTAAGAATATTCCATGGCAGTCCCTGTGTCAGACAATATGTCTCTTACTGAGAGACTGGGAAGCTCAAAGCATCAGTCTGTAAGGTACACCAATATTCCTAGATCAAAGTTGTCAAGAAAAATATTTTTTTAAATGTTATTATTTGCACTAGAGAGAATACAACTAGAACTAGGAGACAGCAAATTAAGGTTGTATTTCCTAGACTTAAATACTGATTTTAACTTGCATCTCCATGTGTGCTGTCTCTAAGTCAGGTAGCAGAGTTAACTTCACTCATCATGTAAAGCTCGCTGAAGTGCAGGGAACTGGTCATTGTTCTCAAATGAGAGATTCCTACCAGTAACACTGCTCTGGTGGAGGTTCCCAAAGTTCAAAATACATTTCTTAATGCAAGTTAATATTCAGGCTGCACCCAGCAAACTTAAGAAAGCCAAGCACTGTCTGTGC